TGCCACCCATTGTGTGTGTGTCCCCCCCAATCCTGGTGACCCCCATGTGCGATGTGGGTCTTGAGGGACATCGAGGTGTCCCCATTGCTGTCCACAGGGTCACCCTGGCAAGGAGGGACCCCCTGGTTCTAAAGGCCACCAGGTAAAGAACCTCCTGAGCTCCTGCCCCACATCTATGGGGCAGCCCCACGTCTATGGGGCTCAAACTCCTCCTTGCTCCATAGGGTCCTTCAGGTCCTCAAGGACCCATCGGCTACACCCGGCCACAGGTCAGTGCTGGGGGCGGGTGGGGTGGTGGCCGTTTTGAGGTGAAACCATGAGGAATTGGGACCTTTGGGTCACCCCAAGTGTCTCCACAGGGGGTCGATGGCATCCGAGGGCTCAAAGGACACAAGGGCGAGAAGGTGGGTTCCATCCCCATGTCCCCACCACCCCACTGGTGGTGCCCATCATCTCCATCCTCATCGTCTCCCATAGGGTGAAGAAGGCTTCCCCGGCTTCAAGGGGGACATGGGGGTCAAAGGAGACCGGGTAGGTCCATGGGGTGCCCATTGATGCCTCCTCATAGGGGATGTCCCACCATCAGGACCCCCCTTTAATGTGTGTCCCCTGCCCATAGGGTGAAGTTGGGGTTCCTGGATCCAGGGGTGAAGATGGACCTGAAGGCCCCAAAGGCCGCACGGGCCCCACTGGTGACCCCGGACCCATTGGGTTGGTGGGAGAGAAGGTGAGAGGACACCATAAGGGAACACTTAGGGGGTGAAGCCCCCCTCTATGGACACCCCATAACAGCTTCTTCTCCCCACATCCCATAGGGAAAACTGGGAGTTCCAGGGCTTCCCGGTTATCCAGGACGTCAAGGTCCAAAGGTGGGTGGTAGAACCCATGGGACACCCCCAAAGCTGCCCCATCGCCCCTTATTGTGCCCCATATCTCCCCCGACCCACATTTCCCCCCCTCCATCCATAGGGATCCCAGGGATTCCCAGGATTCCCAGGCAGCAACGGCGAGAAGGGGGCACGGGTGAGTGACCCCCATATCCTGCGTCCCCCCCATAGGAGGTGGGCCCCATAAGTGTTGTGACCCCCAACTCCATCCATGTCTCCTATAGGGTCTATCAGGCAAATCAGGGCCAAGGGGTGAACGTGGCCCTACGGTGAGTATATGGGGCAGGGTTATGGGGTGGCCCCACAGATCTATGGGGCAGGTGATGGAACATCCATGGACCTTCCTCCATCCAAGGGGCCAAGGGGACAACGGGGACCACGAGGAGCCACCGGGAAGTCGGGAGCCAAGGTCAGTTGTGGGGTGGGATATGGGGTAATGGGTGGGGATATGGGGCAATGGGTGGAGATATGGGGTGTAGGTGGAGATATGGGGCTATGGGGTGGAGATATGGGGTGTAGGTGGAGATATGGATCAATGGCTGGAGATATGGGCTATGGGGTGGAGATATGGGGCAATGGGTGGAGATATGGGGTGTGGGTGGAGATATGGGACAGTGAGTGGACATATGGGGTGTGGGTGGAGATATGGGACAATAGGTGGAGATATGGGCTATGGGGTGGAGATATGGGGCAATGGGTGGAGATATGGGCTATGGGGTGGAGATATGGGCTATGGGGTGGAGATATGGGGCAATGAGTGGAGATACGGGCTATGGGGTGGAGATATGGGGTGTGGGTGGACATATGGGGCAAGGGGTGGATATATGAGCTATGGGGTGGAGATATGATGTGGGGCAACCAACCTTCTTCTTTGTCCTCTATTAGGGTACATCAGGCAGCGATGGGCCCCATGGCCCCATAGGAGAGCGGGTAAGGGGTGGTCCCACCTCCATATGGGGTGGGCTGGGGTGGGGTGTGGGTCCCCTCCATCTTCACCCCATCTTCACCTCATTTAGGGTCTACCAGGACCTCAAGGACCCAACGGCTTCCCAGGACCCAAAGGCCCCCCTGTAAGTAGCGGGGTCCCCTCATGCTTTGCCTATCGGGTGCCCCACATACAGGTCACCCCATGGTTTAACCTCCACCCCATAGGGCCCCCCTGGCAAGGATGGTCTCCCCGGGCATCCTGGACAGCGAGGGGAAGTGGTGAGTGTCTTCTCCATGCCATGGGCCATCACCCCATAACCCCCTTTAGATCCACCTCAAGCTCTTCGTGGTTTACTCATGGTTTACTTATAGCTTAATCCTGGTTTATTCATGGCTTACTCATGTCTTACTCATGGCTTAATCCTGGCTTACTCATGGCTTGATCCTGGTTTATTTGTGGTTTACTTATGACTTAACCCTGACTTACTCATGGCTTAATCCTGGTTTACTCATGGCTTAATCATGGCTTAATCATGGCTTAATCCTGGTTTATGCACAGTTTACTCATGGCTTAATCCTGTCTTACTCATGGGTTAATCCTGGCTTGTTCGTGTCTTACTCATTGCTAAATCCTGTCTTACTCATGGCTTACTAGTGCCTTACTCATGTCTTACTCCAGGTCCTAACCCCCCCTAAATCCCACTTTTTCCCTCTCTTTCCTTAGGGATTCCAAGGGAAAACTGGTCCCCCGGGACCTCCGGGCGTGGTGGGCCCTCAGGTGAGCTCCTCGCGTTGGCTGCTGGGGGTTGTCCCACCGCGTTCCAGGGGCCTCCATTGACTCCCATTGCCCCAGGGAGCCGCGGGCGAGTCCGGGCCCATGGGAGAACGTGGCCACCCCGGGCCCCCCGGACCCCCGGGAGAACAAGGACTTCCAGGTCCAGCCGGCAAGGAAGGCACCAAGGTGAGCGCCCGCTGGCCACGGCGGTGGGGTATCCATAGGGATACAGAGGACACGGCTCTCCCATCCCTTCCTTTGCCCCATAGGGTGATCCTGGCCCCACGGGCTCCCCCGGCAAGGATGGTCCAGCGGGATTGAGGGGGTTTCCTGGAGAACGGGGGCTTCCCGGGACTGCGGTGAGTGAATCCCAGTGGAGCCCCTGCGGATCCCTATGGATTCCCTATAGAATCACCCCAGTGAGCACCCTCTTCCTTCCACAGGGCGGCCCAGGGCTGAAGGGCAACGAGGGTCCCGCGGGCCCCCCCGGACCTGCTGTGAGTGTCCCCATGGCCCTCTATGGGTCGTGGTGTCCCCATGGTCCTCTATGGGTCACAGTGCCCTCACGTCCTTCTATGGGTCACAGTGTCCCCATGGCCCTCTGTGGGTCAC